TATATATCAGTCTTGCGAAGATCCAGGACCGCAAATAGCCCTTTTTTCTGATGGTATCTGCTCTTTAGTCTGTTTCGAGCGTTTTGTTTATTTGTTGGTTTGTGCTTTTGTTCGTGCTTTTTTTTTCTTTTTTGGTCTGTTTGTTGTGCTACTTTGTCCAGACCGCAGTCACAGGCATAATGTTGCACCATTGAGTGGGTTTTCTAAGTTTTGCCATGCTTTTTGTTAGGAGTTCTTTTTTTTTTTTCCTTTTGTTTTACATTAAATGAGGTCATACAATATCTCCGAGAATAGACGCGGAAGTTACTCTCATCCATTTATACGTTGCTTTTTGTATGTGCAATCTTATTGTAGCATTTTGTAGTGTTGCTGGTTTTGCTTAAATCAGTTTTTTATGTCTGTCAGTACTGTGTTGTTTAACTGGAGCTTTTGCAGGACATCTCTGGGGGGAAAGCACTAGGAAGTTTAAAACGTGTGGGGGTGTGGGGGGGGAGACGGGAAGGGGAGGGGGGAGCTGGTAGGAATAATCAGTATTGTCAAGGTTGTGGGTATTTCTGTGTTGTTGTAGTTGTTTTATGGAGGGTTTTTGGTGGGTGGGGTAGGGGGAGGGTTGTTTTGTTTATTCAGTTTTTTATTTATTAATATACATTTCTTATTTTCTAGTATTTTTTCACTTACAAAATGTTTTTAGCTATATATTTTCTTATTTTATTAATTTTAAAAAAGAAATAAGACTCCTAACAAAAAGCTCCGCAAAACGTAAAACCCACTCAATGTTGTAACATTATGCCTGTGATTGCGGGTCTGGACAAAGTAGCACAACAAACAGACAAAAAAACCTCACAAACAAAATGTATTGAAGACAAACTAAAGAGCAGATACCATCTGAAAAAAAAATGGCCGTCTGCGGTTTCCGATCTTAGCAAGACTCAGATATATATTGATTTATTTTTTAATTTTCGAGTATTTTTTAACTTTAAAAATGTTTTCATCTATTTATTTATTAATTCAATTATTTGTGGGGTTTTGGAGAGATTGGTGGGGATACTTTGTTTAGTGAACATTTCCGTTTCACTGAGCAGTCCGGGAGTTTGGTAAAGAATAGTTTTCGTAATAGTCCTTGCTTATCCCTTATCTTTTTTTCCTGTCTTTCACTTTGCTTTTTCACTGCACAGTACGATTGTGGGGGCCACCATGACTTTGGTCTTTGTATTATTGACCTTCATTGTACTGACACTGCACTGCAATTGTGGGTGGTTGGCGGGTGCTCCTGTGTGATTTGCTCCTTCTTCTTTCCTATCAAACATCTATTGTCCTTATCTCTCCTTCTTCTTTTTTATGCTTATTACTCTCTCGTAACACCTGTGGTCTGCACTGATATTACCTTATTGTGTTGCATGTGCCGTAAATCTTATTCTTTTTTGCGGGTGGTTGGAGGGCGCCACTGGTAGGGTCTTACTTCTCTACTTTCCTTCTGCTGTTTCTGTCTGTCTATCTTAACTTTTTTCCTGGCACTGAGTGACCATTATTAAGTTGATGTGCTTTTCCTTACTTAAACAAATAAACAAAAATTATGTTGGGTTTTTTTTTAAAGGAAAGACCCAAATTCCTGGACCGAAACAGCCGCTACTTCCCAGCCATATATCTCATCTCCCACTCCGGGGGTCGGAGATCCGCTGTGTTCATGGTCATGAGCTGCCTGCTGTATGCGCACAAGAGAGGAACCTTGAAGGAGTCATGGTAAGAAGACATATTATAAGAAAATAAAATAAATATAGTCGACGTACATGATCTGACGGCTGGCTATCTGTATAAGACAATCACCTGTACAAACAGCCACTTTCTGCCTCCTTCCTTGTGAGTTTGGGGTGTTTTTTTTTGTTTTGTTATTGTTATATTTTTAAAGTTAATAATGACAATGTGTGAGATGGCCACCTGTCTAAGACGGTCACTTTTCTTCTCGAAAATGGCTGGTGTCCTTAGAATTTTGACTGTATTTTGGATATAAAACAGAAAACATTTAAAATAAATTCTTCGGAAAGGCAAAAAGCGGACACTTTTATCCAGCAGTCGTATAACTGAACCCCATCGATCACGGGGCAAAGTTAGACACGACGACACAAAATGGCAAAACGCTAATTACTTATTAAACACCTTCAACGCAGATTCTCCAAATATTTGGATCAGATTATTGGTATTTCATGATTCACTGACAAGCCTGCAAGATGCATAAAAGCATAAGTACCTACATAATGAATAATTATGATGTATTGTTGTGTCAAAAGTGTATTTGCTTAATTTCCTACCAACTAAAATAGATTAGAACGAAATTTTAGCGTCATTTATTCTCCACGTCCATCGAAGAAGTATTCGAAGGCTTCATGTTTATAACGGCATAATATCAAAAGAACAACAAAAAACCAGCCTCCAGCATAACAAAACAAGATAAAAAAACAACCCCAAAATAAATCCTCGTGCTGTATTTCGTAGGCTCGTCAGCGTTGCACCAAAACAAAACAAAAAAACCACACTACAAAAATAAAACAAACTCAAATAAGCAAAAAACAAAACAAAACACACACAAAAAAAACAACAACAGGACAAGCTGACGGTCACGGATCCATAGAATTTGTCCAGCAATACGGCCATTACTCTATAGTACGCATTACCCAATTCATAGTGACCCCGGGTCACCTGGTGGGCACGACTCTCGGCTGTGCACGACTCTCTCGGCTGTGCACATGGTTGCGTGTGTGTGTGTGCGCGCGCGCGCGCGTGTGTGTATGTGTGTGTGTGTGTGTGT